CTTCTATCCCTCAAATATGAATTCATGAGCGACAGCATTGCATCAGACATACCCACTGTTTTAAGCTTATCCAGAAGTGCATAATGATCAACTTGTTCAAACGCCTTCTGAATATCTGTGTGGATGACATCAACTTGTCCCTGACCGTCCAGTACTTCAGAAATGTACTGAGTAATCAGAGCCAAGTTGGTGACCGTAGATCTGCCTTTCATAAACCCATGCTGATTAATAGAGACTGCACCCCTGACCGAGCAGTAAACCGTTTCATAAGCGATGATCTCAAACAACTTGCTGAAATTGCACAGGATTGCTATTTGGCGATAGTTGGAAATATCAGAGATATCTCTTGTGAATAGGACATCTTTTAGAGGTCTTCCAGACATTTGGATATGTCTCTGATTTTAGAATTAGGTTGAATGTGGAAGCCAGCGATTTCGCTAGTATATGAATGCAATCTTTAACGAAAAACTTGGAATACCATCACACCCAGACGTCAGTTTGTTCTTTAATCTTTTCGAACCCCTAATTACGTTTTCTTCACTTATATTTTTTAAAGAAATGATATCGGTAGAATTATTTGTTGGAGGAGATGACCCTAGTAGACCAGACGGGATAAAAACTGTTGAAAAGAAGGTAGCAAAACTGTCCACTATATCCTGAGGCGTATCGCAGACATTGCCGTTAAGCGTCATCCTTGGGGGGATTCTAGATTGCTGTTTTTTGATCTGGGCAAATGACCAGAATTTGCTAGGATCATTGACAATGGCATCCTCAACCGATTGGACGTAAGCGGAGTAGGCAACACTGATCTGGTTCTTAATGAGCTTCCTAAAATTACTGAACTGATCATAAGAAAACTTTTTCCGTTTCCAGTTCCTTCTTGATATGTCCTTCTTCTTGATATTAAGTATAATTTCGCGTGTGAACCATGGGGGATACGAAAACATTTTATTTTTACATTTACATTATGTATAAAATGGCAGGTAAATTTTGGGAATGTTTTACTCGACAATTATTTTACTTGTTAAATGTTATAAAATTATACCAGCATGGGGTGTTTCCTATGTAGATCTATCTGGATATGCAGCTAATTAAAATTTCTATATTAATCGGGCAACGAATGCCAATGAAGATATTACTAATTTGATCACTGGAACTGTACGAGTGTATCATTTCGGGTTATTAGCGAAAATAGTCCAGATCTTACAACTTTCTGTCACTAACTCTGGATATACTTCTACTAACTTGGTATTTGTTACCAGCATATTATTTCTTGTATTTTATAATATTTTAATCTGGAAGTAACACAGCTTATTTAAATTTGTATTTATACTCATCAAATTATTTTCACGTTTTATCTAATTTTAAGTAGTTTCAGCATTACGAAATTTCTACTTATAAGAATTCAACTCGGAGGCACAAACATCATTTGTGATTAAGCCAATCTTCGGCTTCAGCCAAAGTTTGTTTTAAAAGCCGAACATCGGCTTTGGCCAAAAAACTGGCCTTTAGTTGGATCTTAGTAACCAGGTCAACACCGATTTCATTCTGAATTTGCTAGCGCATCCACCACTTCTTTACCGACGAAATCGCAAACACATTCGTCATTTTTGCGAACAAGATTGGTAGATACATTCCCCATTTCTGCAAATGTTTGCAAACTATGATTACACAGGCCCACAAAATATAAAAGTCTCGGCTGCTGGCGGTCTCACTGTCTTTTTCTCATCTATTTCTTCCCACCGAATGCGAATCTGTGTTGTATAGATTTGTTTTTCGCGTCCGTTGCCAGCTCCTGGGGGTTCTCTCTTCGTTTTTACCTTTGTTGTGTTTCACCGCCTCTTCATTTGCCTCTTTATTGTATTTGTTATTTTTTTAAGAACTTTTAGGGTATTCAGGGCTTTCTCGCATGGACTCTTTGTATTAAAGGGTCCAATGTATCGGTTTTATAATCGAGGGACTGTCCTTTTTCGTCATTACTCTATATGTAGAATTTCCTTTGTTTATGATGTTTATTCATGACGAAATAAATATTTTGAATTTGAATTTGAATTTGAATTTGAATTTGAATCTGAAGTTAGGATTGAAAGTTATTTAGGCAATAAGATCACATATTTTGTTATTCTTGATTTGGTTTGGTGGATTTGCATCTCTTAGAAATCTCTGAAGACATATTGTATTTTACTTACGTTTTCTAAGAAGCTGTCCTTATTCTCTTTCTTATTGTCTCAAGCCTCACGAAATTAAATTAAGTGATTTCTTCATAAAAATAAACTATGGCAAAGTTGTTCATGTACAGGGTTCTCCCCAAGCTGAGTCACTATGTACATATTACATCAGAAATTACAGAATTATTCGAAATCTATGTTGAATTTTAATTCAGACTTACTAAAAGCACTCTATACAGGGTGGCGCATCGAAAACGAAACAGACGCATTTACTGACAGCTCAGTTTTTGAAACACGCTCTGACCCGTCGATTTTGTTTTCGAGAGGGACACAAGTTTGGCAAAAACGTTAGCTCGTGCAGCTCCCTAAGCGGGGGTGGCAGGACCCCCAAAATCTTAAATGAAAGGGGGGTTGAGTGACACATTATTTTAAAGCTCTTTCAATTCCCTTTATAATGATATAAAATTAATGTACTTCAGTTCAGTCGTTTTGAAGATTTATTGATTTAAATCAAAGTAATTTAAAAATGAAGAATGAACTGACTCGTAAGGCAAGTAAATGTTGAAAATGGCCACGATGACTCTCCATGCAATAATAAAGATTTTGCTCAAAACGTTGCCGCACATTTTGCAATATTTGAGGAGTAATTTGAAGGCACTCATTCACAATACTTTGTCGCAGGTCTTCTACTGATGTTGGCTGAGTAGCATAGATTTTGCTTTTTAAATGACCCCACATAAAGAAATCCAAAGGTGATAAATCTGGCGATGTTGGGGGCCATTCAATGGCTCCTCTTCTACCAATCCATCGATCTGGATACGTCTGGATCTAAATATTGTCGAACACGTAATGCGTAATGTTGGGGGGCACCATCCTGTTGGAACATCAACCTATTCGCAAAGTACCGCCGATCATTCTGATTTTCAATTATGGCTGTTAATGCAGGATCTATGGCCTCTTCGAGTAATTCCAAATACGTTTCACCGGTCAAATGTAATTTATTATTTGACATAAATCCTGTCCATTTTTTTGTGTCCCATCCATAAATTATTTTCTGATATCTACGAAAACTGACCCCCCTCCATTACAACTTTAAACAAGTGAAAAAACAGCAGAGGGTGAATAACAATAATACCATTTAAAAATTGGCCAACTTAATTTGCACAGTGATCGTACTTGATCCTCTCACACTACAAGGTGTCAAAGACAGGCGTGTGAAGTGATTATAATAAAAATTCAGACCTTGGCATGACTTTTGTGTGGGTTTTTCTATACCTCAAGAAAAAATAATACAGGGCGAAATAAAATTTTTAATTCTGAGTGTCTTAAAACAATCCTGGTTGGCACGGAATATACTGAATATAAGCCAGTTGTTAAAAAAAATTAATGCTGAAAATCTTGAAAACTGCAAAACTTCCACTAAAACATAAGTAGGCAATGACAAAGCCTATCTACAGTTGCAGGATTATCCTTCAATTTCAGAACACCCTGTAAATCCGTACGGCATTTTTCATAATTAAAATCCTATAAAAACGTTGCGCATCTGATCGTCTACCTAATACAAATATTGCTTGTTGGTTTCTCAAAGGTATATCTAGTTAAGCACTAGAGAGAGAGAGGGAGAGAGAGAGTTTGTCCCCTCCCGAGAGAGGGTATTTTTCCGCTCACTTGAGTGCCAAGTGCTACTTAGTCTTCAGTGACTCGTGAAGATCCTTATCAGAAGTTGGATAATCCCTATTGGAAACGTCTTGACCTACCTATATTACTGTCAACTCCTAGATACCATGGATGTCTTTTAAGTTTTGTATATAGAAACATAGTAGGCCGCGCGGATCGAACGTCAGTACTGAATCTTAACCTCACTCTTTAGCAAACTTAAATTCAAAGTTTCATAACAATACGTGCAGTGTTCTCACTACAGTAAATTTTTAAGTGTCACCAAGTCATTAGAAAAATGGAACTCAACCGAGAACATTTTCGCGCCATAATTTATTACAACTTTCAGAGAGAATTATCGCAACAAGAACTCCTTGCTGAGTTACTGTCTGTTTTCGGCAACGAAGCGCCACATCAGTCGACAATTTCCCGTTGGTATGGAGAATTCAAACGTGGACGGATGAGTCTTAGCGACGATCCCAGGTTCCCAGGGTAGGTGCACCAAAAACAGCAGTCACCCAGGAAAACGTCGATGCTGTGCGCAAACTCATCATTGAAGATAGACATGTGACATATCGCGAGATTGAGGCGTCCTTGAAGATCTCAAAGACCTCAATTCAAAAAATTTTACATGAAGAATTAGGAGTAAGAAAATTACTTTCTCGTTGGATACCCCACCAGTTGATTGAAGAGCAGAAAGTAGCCAGGGTTCATTGGTGTCAAAAAACGTTTGACCGTTTCAATTCCGGAAACTCAAAAAATGTGTACAGCATTGTTAGTGGTGATGAATCGTGAATTTACTGTTATGAACCAGAAAATAAAAGACAGTCGGCTGTTTGGGTGTTGCAAGGTGAAGAAAAGCCAACAAAAGTCATCCGTTCTCGAAGTGTCTCGAAAAAGATGGTCGCGACATTTGTGTCAAAAGCGGGTCATATTGCGACAATTCCTCTTAATGAGCAAAGAACTGTTACTGCGCATTGGTATACCACCATTTGTTTGCCAAAAGTCATCACCGAGCTTCGAAAAATCAACCCCGAAAGAAGAATCATCCTCCACCAAGACAATGCAAGCTCGCACACAGCCCAAAAAACAAAGCAGTATTTAACGGAAGAAAACGTGGAATTATTGGAACATCCTCCATATAGTCCCGATCTAAGTCCTAACGATTTATTTAAGGTCCCAGTCACCAGAAGAAGCAGTTGACGCATTCAAAAATGCCGTTTTGGATCTGCCAGCAAACGAGTAGAATACCTGTAAGTGCTACGAAAATTGGTTCGGGCGCATGCAGATGTGTATTAATCTTCGTGGAGAATACTTCGAAAAACAATAAAGTCATTTGAAACTACCTACCGTGTTGTTTTATTTCCATATGCTAAACTTAAAAGACATCCCTCGTATGATTTGGGTAGTTGCCTCCTTCAAACTGAAGTGATTTGTAAGTCATGTCTGAATTGATCTATCATTACAAACTACTTACCCAAAAAATGTTTTACTGAGACCGACTATTTTATAAATTTAGATCTCTCGTTTGAGTATCTTAAAACAACATGGACCGCAACGCAAAGTTCAGTGACTGGAATAGTTCTTACAGCTATCCTGTCGCATCGACCAACTTATTGAATAACCGAGATAACCGGATCAGTACAAATTTGAAAGTCGGTAAATATCTGTACGTAAAAATCAACGCTGCAACAAATTCTTTAGTGTTAGCGAATCTGAGTTCTTGCAAGCACTTTCTCCATTTTATGTGCGCAAATATGGGACAATGCATTCGAATTCACCATTTTTATAAATACTCTCTATCTCCCCGATTTTCGACAAAACTTTTGAGCTGCTTGGTACTAGCTTTACCATAATTCGGTAGATTCAAGGACAAAATCGGCAGGAACAAAAAAATCGGGACCGACGTAAGATCAGCGGCGGATCAAGGGCTTTTGGGCCACGCAGCGCCATCTATGAAAAGTACATTCTCGTTTCTCGTATAGGGCAGGCACACAACATAGATAATCAACAACTGATTTTACATGTTTTTACAAGAACAAAATATAATGTCCATACGTCTTTAGCTATTATACAAGTTGTATAATAGGCACAACTTAAAAATAATTATTATCATATAGCAGTGTGGTTCACAATCACAATCTGGTTAGGTGTCACTACCATTATTTTTAATGATTTTTCCACCACTATAAATCCGTTAAAACCCCTATGTGTCTCCACTCGTGTCTAACCAATTAAAAGCTAATTTAGAATTTTTCGATTTTTTTTTTGTATCAGCCGATGAAGAAATTTTTTTTCTACTTCAGTTTACAGGTTTAACGTTCTATTATTTATTATACAAAAAACAAACTACTTCCTCTGAAAGTTGTGACAAATCAAATCTTTCCGTAGTGTATTTATAATCTAGTCGTATTTATATTACAAAAATTATCAAGTAATATCAAAAATACTTGAATTTTCAATCAAGTACTTGACAAACGAGCGTAAAACTACTTGAGACGTGACTTGAGTCAAGTAGCTTGAAAATCAAGTGATGTAGTGAATCCCTAGTCACATTGATGTTCATCTCTAGAGTCAGGTTTGAACGATATTTTATCGATTATAATAGAAGATCTTATACGCATGCAGACCAATAGACATGATCATCCAGATGCGATCTTGCTACTCACCCAACTTTCTTTCTTTCACATCTTCTCAGAAATAAACACTACTTGGCGTTCGCAACCAACAATGCATACTTGAACGCGTCGTGTCGTTGAGATATTCCTCCATAGATGGACGCTTTTGATGACGCTGGCAGCGATCATAGTGAGCAAACGTCGAATTAACTACTTGCAACTAAAAACTACCTAGTCTGCAATATGACACTCGTTTTTTTTTCGTTTTCTTTCATAATACCCCTGCAGCACGGGTTTTACGTATCTTGAAAAGTGACATTATATCGATTTTTTTGTTATTATATTGTTTTTTTATGACATTATGTAGGTTTTCCTACAAGATGTTAACTTAGCACTAGCAGATGGACACGTTGTGAACTCGTTTTGTAGTGGTACGTGTTGCCTAAACGTCATGACGCTTGTTGTAAATGTTTGGCTCTGATTGATGTAAAATCTGCTTCAGAGATGGAATTACTGGAGGTAACGGCAATGCATACGTGCATAGTTAGGATTTGTGTGCTAATGATAATTCCATTGGAATCTTGTCTCAAATACACTTACTTGAGATTCAAAGGCAGAAATTAGTTGCGCAACCACTCTTATCCATTCTGGAAATTGCATAAGCAAATTTGCTGAATTTCATGAATGAGAGATATAAGAAATAATTATATTCACTGTACGCTGTCGAATTATATGCTAACAGTAATTACACACAACGCGGGCGCGGTAGTGATTTCCCGTAATTTCCCAAGTTTTTGGAAACACGAAAAAACGTAAAAAATTGTAATTTATAACTTTGAACATAACCTGTCTTCAGAAAAGACAACGTATACATAAGCCGTCGGGCGCAGTCAATAGATATGCCATTGGCAGCATATTCAGTAATGAGTTTCTCATACAGCAAATATCACTGATTTTATAAACATGCAGACCAACACACACAGTCATTCATCCAAATGCGATCTTGCTATTCAAGCATCTTTCTTCTCAGAGATGAAAACATATACTACCGCATACCCGGTTTCACAAAACATATGCAACCAGCAATGAGTGTAGTTGAGTTATTCCTCCATAGATGGACGCTCACAACGATCCTAGTAAGCAAACGAGGAATGACTGCACCCTAAAAACTACCTATTCTGCAAGATGACATATTATAGGTTTTTTTTTGACGTTTTATAGGTTTTTTTACATAATGCCCCTGCCGTTCACTATACGGCTGGCCACATTTCCTCCACCCATTGCTTTCCCTTGGATCTGCGTCTGTCCACGTAACAGCAGAGCCACGGTAGTGAAAACGAGTACGTAGTGTTCTTTCGATATTCTTCATTAGTCATAAGGTTAGCGGTACGTACGGTAGATAGAGACACAAACGTTGACAACGTCAAAATGACAACTGACGTGACAAAAACATTTGACAGTATCAGTGAGGAAAAGGCAATTTAAAAAATTTGCCATGTAAATAAATGTGAATTCTCAAAAAGCAGGTCTTTAATTTTGAAGATCAATTGAAAGAATGAGCTCTACAAAACCTTCTATGGCAAATTGTGCTGAGCTGCAGCGCAAATATTTACAGGAACTTAAACATTTAGAAGAGGAAGAAGTAAAAACCACGTCAGATTGTTTTGAAAATGTTTACATTGTAAATTATTGCAGGAAAAATTAGTGGATAGTTTGAACAGTCTTTTCAACCAAAAAACGTTCCTAGAAGATAAAGTAAAAGGGGTTTCCAAGCTTATCCCCACATTGAAGGTTATAAAACATGAAGCCCAAGATCTCGTTGACACTATAAATGATATATCAGATTCATCAGAGAAAATTAGTGGAAAAATAAGATCCTTAGATGTTGCCAGGGTGAGTATCTAGATCTTAGAATAGTTGAGTATTTTTCATACATCTTTATTTTAGAACCGGGTCGAGGAATGTCAATTACGTGTAAATGACCTCATCGACTTGGACATATGCTCTCAAGGAGTGCAAGCAGCAATTCTAGATTCAGACTATGAAAAAGGCGCTGCTCACGTTCACAGATTCCTTTCCATGGATCAGTCTTTGCTGACTAAAACAGCCACAGACATGGACAACGTCTCAAACATAATGAAATCTGTGAGAACACTTCAGGATGCTGCTAGCCAGCTCAGGGCTATTGTAGAGCATGAGTTTAATGATGCTGTCAATAATGAGGATTTGACATCAATAGAGAGGTATATTGAACATTCATTCAATAATTGCACTAAGCATTTATAAAGAGCGGATTATAAAATTAGTTGTTTTGATGTTCTTCATGACAGGATCAGATGTATTTAGGGTCCGTTAGGGCCCCTGGTCTGAGATACCCTACAACATGCCTCCAGAGGCCCTAGAGCAGAAAAGCTTGTGAATTGAAATTTGTGTAATCTTAACATTTTATTTATATTGTACAAAATCATAAAACACAGCAGCTCATGGAAGAATCTGTGACCTCATCTATTTCTTTGCCTAGGTTATTTTTGCCATTACAGTAGAATCTTATTTGGACGGACACCAATGGGACCTACTTGAAGTGTCCATTCAACCGAGGTGCCTACAGCAAAAAACGTGTTTTCAATGAAAACTGGAATATACAGGGTGATAGGTAAATAGGTGTAAAACATTTTAGGAGGTGATAGTACAGCCCCTTTGCTATCAAAATTAGTATATAATACCATACCCTATATTCAAAGGTTAAAAAGTTATGGAAGATTTAATTTTTTTTAAAAAACAACCCAGATTACAGACTAAAATAGTTGAGATAAAAAAAGTTGGTGATTAAACATTCTTTTTTTGGTGGTTTCAGGTTATTATTTGAATAAATAATTCTCATAAATTAAAAAACATATGAAAGCACTACTGAAAACGTATTTATTTTCATTTAAATGTTGAATGAAAATTTTTATTTTCAACTTTCACATTAAGAAGTCTTTTTTTTCAAAAAAATCATAATAAAGAAAATGTACGAATAACTGTAAAAACTTCCTCGTTTCATTAGGTTTCTAAAATGGTATAATAACATATCAGTAAGTAAACCATTTAACAAAACAACCGAGCCTTTAATGGTTCGACCCATTTTGTAATTTTTTGTGCCCTGTGCCGTTATTCGGGTTTAAGTATTCGGAATCTGTCGTCGCTCCTCGGAAGCAAGCTCTGCGTGTGTTATGAATTTACACAGCTGACGGATCAAGGAAAGGGAACTAACGCTTAGGTTAGTTAGTAGAATATCAACCTTTAACGCGGTAGGACGTACTTTTACTTTTTTGATCAGTTTTAATAATGGCGAGTTACCGTAACGAAGAATACGCTGATATTCTGTTTTTGTTATGGTTTAATTGATGGAAATTCCGTTGAAGCCAGGTGAGAATACGAAAACCGTTTTCCGAATCGGCGAATACCGAGTCATCGAATATTTGCTTCTGTGTTCCAACGCGTCAAGGAAAGTGGACAGGTTCATGAGAGACGTCATGATGCTGGTAGACCTCGGTTGTTTGACGACGAAGATCGAGAGGCAATACTGGAATGCTACGGCAGAGACCCGACGACGTCTACACGAGTCATAGCAAAGCAGCTTGGTTTAACTCAGTGGAAAGTTTGGTTCGTTTTGCATTCGGCGAGACTTTACCCTTTCCATTACACACCAGTTCAAGTATTAGAAGAAGGAGATCCCCTAAGAAGAATTGATTTTTGTCGATACATGCTTCATCGGGATCAAGAAGAAAACGACTATTTAACTAAAATATTGTGGACCGACGAGTCTAAGTTTGACAGAAAGGAGACAACAAATTATCACAACTTACATTATTGGGCCCCACGAGAGGCAAATCCCAACATGGCAAAGCCAAGAGCCCATCAAAGAATATTTTCGGCAAACGTGTGGATGGGAATTATTCATACGTATCTAATTGGACCAGTTTTTTTGCCTGACAACCTGAATGGCGAATCCTATGAAAACTTTTTGAGATCCGAACTCTGGGAGTATCTCGAAGACCTGCCTCTGAATATCAGGATGCAGATGATCTACCAACACGATGGCTGTCCCGCGCATTCCGTCTGGGTGTTAGACAGTTGCTGGACGAGAAATATCCTTGTCGCTGGATTGGCCGAGGTGGACCGACACCGTGGCCAGCGAGGAGCCCAGATTTAACACCGTGTGACTATTATTTATGGGGGCACATGAAGTCACTGGTGTACGCTGAGCCCATAGATACTCTTGCACAGTTGAAAGAAAGAATTATTGCTGCTGCTGACACTATCAGAGGACAACTAACTGGCCGCATCACGCGTACCAACATGAGAAAAAGACTACGGGCTTGCATAAGAAACGGCGGGCGTCAGTTCGAACAACAATTGCAATGAATTTTACCTTCATTTCATTATTGTATTTTACTTACCAATTGTAGTAACTTTTAGTCAGTTTTTATTATTTTGTAGTACAATTACAACTGTGTAAATAATCTAACCGTGTAACTTAACCGTAGTTTAAAATAATAACTATCCCATAGCTTACAGTTACATTATGTTCACAAAAACACTTTCTTATCAATCAGAGAGTTGTGAAAATAGGAGACAAGCCATTGGTAAATTTACTCCCTATTGTTGTATTACAATACATTATGTTTAGTTTCACACAGTTTTTGTGCACTTATCATACCAATTTAGATTCCTTATCAAACAAGGATATTATTTAAATTGTTTGTACGTTTTTTTGTATACTGATTTTTTTGTAAAACACCTTACTTACTGTAAAACGTTATTTGTTTTTCTTAGTTAAACACTTTTGATTGAAAATAAATACGTTGTTTGGTATTGTTTTCGAATCTTTTTTAATTTATAATAGTTAATTGTTGATATAATAACCCAAAACCACAAAAAATAAATGTTTAATCGCCAACTTTTTTCTCTCTCGACTTTTTTTTTCTGAAATATAGATTGTTTTTAAAAAAATCTTAAATCTTCAATAACTTTTCAACCTTTGAATATAGGGTATGGTATTATATACCAATTTCGATAGCAAAGGGGCTGTACTATCACCTCCTAAAATGTTTTACACCTATTTACCTGTCACCCTGTATATTAAAGAAAATGGGACGTTTTAAACCTATATGTATACAGGGTGATGGGAAAATAGATGTGGTCCGGTGGGGGGAGATAGTACAAAAGCCACTCTGAGTCGATTTTACTATAGGAACTACCGTCCGAAAATTAGCTGTTTTCGAATTTTACTAATTTTTAAGATTTTATAAAATTAACGTCCCTATACGTTAACCAAGTCATAAAACTTAAAAATTGGGTGTTTCATTTTGATTTTTTTTTTGGTTTTACAATAAAAATATTCTGAAATACGAAAATTGATACTAAAATGTGCATTATTGACGTTATCTCATGCAGTAAACTTCAAAATAGTTCGTTCATCTCAAAAACTCAATTTACTAGAAACAATCGTCTAAAAATTTTTCGTGCAAAACAATTTTAAAAGATCTACGTTTCATTACCTTTCAAATGAGGTATCAAAGTCACAAACCGGTTTAGAAATGACAAAGATATGAGTGAAAGAAACAGGTAGAGCCGCGAACATCCGTGTTTTTAGAATAAACAAAAAACTTTACACTTTATAAAAAAGTTTGTTACCTTTAGATATATGTAGTAATATAACATAATGAAATAAAAAGTCACTTTAACATGCTTGCTGCCAGTAAAATGTTGCTATATGTAGTCAGGGGCCAAGCGGGTTTTTAATTTTTTTTGCCTGAAAATTGCTTCAAATGATGCTAAAAGAGAGATATATAGTTTATCCTGTTAGCACCTACCAGATGATAGTAAAATGGAACTTGCAGATTTAGGCACCTACCATCAGGTTTTTCTGGCATTTGCAGTTGTTGGAGAATCCTATATGTGGAGAAATTGGTGGTCGTGTTTTGTCTCCAATCCTTATTGCAGGACATTGTCTTCTTCAGTGATACTGAAGGGATAAACAGTCACATATGTCAGTTTCTGGGCTTTCCCAACATTAAGTTAGTTGGCTTGTGGTTGGTTTGACATGGCAGGGATCCTTATTAAGTATTTTCTAAATCAGGCCTTGAACTGTTACCAGTGTAAGTTAGCTCTGGCCCTCCTCAGTTTGTTTTGAGGCTTTTATAGTGGCATAAAACCTGGAGAGGAGAAAGGCTTGTATATAAACAAATAAATGGTATATCCAATTTTATTGCGATATTTGTTGTATTTCTAGATTCTTCAAGATCTTTCCTCTGCTAGGTATGCATGAGCAGGGTATCAAAGAGTTCTGCACATACTTGAGAGCAAAGATAGCCACTGTAGCCGAAAAAAACCTGAAAACAGCAATGAATATCCCGCAGTCAGACAAAAGATACGGTGTGATATATGCTGACACCTTGGTTCTCCTATTCGAGGGTCTTGCTAGGGTTATAGATACACACCAGCCCCTTATCGAAACCTACTACGGTCCGGGAAGACTGTTGTCTGCCATCAAGGTGCTGCAAAAAGAATGCGATATTCAGATGAAGAGAGTGTACGGCGATTGGGCGAGAGCTCGACAAATTATCAAAAAAATTCAGGTCATCAATGAAGTATCGAGAATGGGAACCAGTTCAAGCTTTGGGAAAATAGAGAAGATAGACCCGAAAGATTTAGATATTTTAATTGGGGAGATAACTTTGATGCATTATAGGATAGAGCTGTATATAAAGTTTGTACAAAGGAAAGTTATGGTGAGTAAATTTCTCTATAAATACTGAATATGCTGTCATATAAAAAATTATAAAAACGTTTTAAAAATAAAAGCTCGTGTTATCTCTTTTTTCTACTAAGTTTATAATTTTCAGGCAGATGCAGATGTCGGTGTCCCGAATCAGCAGGAAAAAGACAATATAATTAAATCCTTGGAAAACCTGATTAAAGATAGTGATATTAGTCAATGTAAACATGAACTTTTATCGCATTATCTGAGGTTGGAGCAATATTACATGGAGGAATCTATCGCCAAAGCTGTTGCTATGGATACTCTAGGTAAGAGCAATCTGGTTTGGATGTCATTTTAGATATACAGTAGCAGACAGAAGTTTGGAAACAAATATTTACATTATGATGAACTATTTCATATGCCTAAATTAAAATTGTGAAGGAACAGATAATATAAATATCAAAGTCTAGCTTTGGCTTCCATACTAATACAGGGTTTATGTTATCAATATTCAAATTCTCTGAAAATAACAACACTCGTTTTTGTAACGACAAAAGTATGGAAACATTTAAGTTTTGCCGTATTTATTCGTTCTGCGTTACTCTGATATTGCGTGCGGTAAATATTAACATAAGTGAGAATGGCAAAAGTAAAAGGATTTTCAAAAGATTTAAGAGACAAAGTAATTGAATTATTTAGAAGCGGTTTCAAGAATGTTGACATTTCTCAAAGAATAAAAATGGACAAAGGGACGATTTTGAAAATTATTAGTAACTATCAAGAATACGGATCGATAGCATCGCGGCCCAGCTGCGGAAGATCGAAAAAAACCGATTATGTTTTGGATCGCTACATTAAACGTTTGTCCCATGAAGATCCTCGAATGCCAGCCACACGGATTTTCAAAAGAATCGTAGAAGACGATGCCGTGCAAAAGCCTCTCATTAAAAAAAATCATATTACTCGGCTCACTACTCATCTAACTTGGACAGAACAACAATGAAATACAGTTTTATGGAGCTATGAAAGCAAATTTAACTTATTTTTGGGAAAATGGATCAAAAAGTTTAGAAAGATATTCTTAGTGAACACATGATCCCTTTTGCTGAAGAAGAAATGCCTTTACGATGGACATTCCAGCAGAATAAGGACCCCAACCATACCTCAAAATTCGTAAAGGACTGGTTAAGACTAAAAAATGTTTATGTTCTTACATGGCCTTCGCACTGCATGGAGCATGTTAAAAGACAACTGACAGGAAAAAACTTTCAAAAATAGGATCGATTTATTTGATATGTAAAAAATATTTGGCAAAATATCCCAACGGACGTCTGTAAAGAATTGCTGTCTTCTATCAGCAGCAGACGTCAGGAATTGTTGAATGCTACCAAATATTATCTAAACAGTATTTTTTAAATCGTTTTGTAGAGTTATTGTATTAAATTTTGTAATAAAAAATTTGTTTCCATACTTTTGTCGTCTCATTTTTGGTCATAAAATAATATGAAGGCATTTTAATGCTAGTCTGTAGTACCACAGCAAACATACATTATCATTTGTGTCCTCAAGACTGTAAGCAAACTATATGAGAAAAAAATAGCCCTTAATAACAAAGAATAAAAAATTTACGCACTTTTTAAAAAGTACTAAGAATGTTTACAAACTTTTTTCCGCTAATTTATATTGACAGCAAGTCATCATTCCACATTCTAAAAGTCTGTTGGTCATGTAATTTAATATTACCTGAAGCTGTTACTGTCAAAGTTACCTTGACATCCCTTACCTAAGAGACTACATCAAACAAGAAGCGCAGCTACGTTATAGTCAAGCGGAATCGCATAGCTACCCTTTGTTGCGCGAGTCAGTAGACTACACAGTCAAGCAAGTTCCCAAGCACACAATGCCGCGAGCACAGTGAATAAAATTAAATCGTGCAACTTTAGGTCCAACCAAAATTATAATTTTTCTCCAACAACCAATCCCAAAATTAATTTTAGGATCAATTTAAAATTGCCGTTTACTAATTAGCAATGCCAAGGCACCCCTCAAATTGACGCACTTGTGTAACGCAATATCTTCTTTTAAGTTTATTGCGTCAAATCGGATACTTATTTCTAGAGCCATCTCAGCAGACATCCAGCATGGTAGACGACACATTCTTCATAGTGAGGAAGTGCATCAGGAGGTCCATCTCGACTGGGTCTTTGGATGGCATTTGTGCCATAATAAACAATGCTTGCCGAGCTTTGGAAAGCGACTATTGCGAGGTTTTAAAAAGTAGATTAAGGCAAGGGTACCCCTCAGGGTACTTGGACCTTACGCAGGCGTACAACGTATTGCAGACCTCCATTCAGCACGGCCGCCTTCAATCTGGCGATACCGAACAGTCCAGGACTGCATTTATTGTGAGTAATATTAAAAACACTTAGATAAAAACTCTGTTTTTTCTGTCAAAATATTAAGGTTGTAAACATTCCTATTTACAAGGTATGTCGCAAAGTAAGCAGGATATTTGAAAGATGTCTGATACAAGGAGCGCCATCTATTATCGGAGACTAGCATTGGATAGGTACATCTTTCTTTTTAGCATATATCGAAACAAAGTGCCAATATTACGTTCTGTGTTAAACTTGGTAAACATTTACCGAAACGCATCAGATGTGGGTGCAAGTTTATGGTGATGATTGTTTAGCTCGTAACCGAGTCCACGACTGGTTTACACGGTTCAAAGGGGGTCGTGAGTCGCTGGAAGACGACGAACATGATGGCCAGCCAAAAGTTGTGATTATGCCAGGAACCGTCGAAAAAGTGCCTGAATTTATCAAAAATGATCCAAAATCTGCATTGAGATACATAGAAATAGAATTAAATATCTCTAAAGATTCCGTCATGGTCTGTTGTCAAATTGCAAATGAAGTATCTGAAAATTCTTACATACAGTGGACCTTCGTCATAGTTTATTATCCTGATTATGATCATTTTTAGCAGATGTGTTGCATCATCAAATTGATGAACAAATATAAGAAATCTCTTATATACCTACATACAGAGGATTTTTCATGTAAATTTACTAGGTATCATGATTATAAGCATCTTTGGTGGATTGTTCGATCCGGAATGGGAGAGATCTCCTATTTATGAAAATATTTTTGGTATCATCTAACCGTTGCAATCAGTGCACAACAACTGTGACATATGATTTATAGCATAACCCGCTGCCTATCAATACAAATTTAACATACAGGTCGCCTAGCCGTGGGGATGCAGTGGTCGGAATGAATATCACAGCAGCTACTGATGATTTGGGCATGTCTGGTAACAACGTATGAAGTGAAACTCGGTAACTTGACAAATTTGAAGATTTTGTAAACTTTCTTTGAAAATGATGAAAGATATGTCTGATTTGGCAGGATAATGTCGCAGCCAAATGACAGTCACTCTTTCTGACACAGTCCGGATCGAAAGATGACGATACTCGTGAAATGTATTGATACTTCTAAATATAGGATCGTATCGAACATCCCTACTGTCAAGATGTATAACCCAAGGTACCGACGGAGCTATTTTGCGGCGTCATGGAAATAATTTTAAATTTTCATTTGCATTTTTTCAAGTCTTGTGCAATGATTTTGGGAAAAATGTGACAAATAGTCTTATAAAGCATAGTAGAGTATATTTCAACAGTTGGCGGAACTTACTCCACTGGGACCAGGAGGGTGAAACGGGATATTAATGCACAATCTGGCAACCCGGTCGCACCCTCACAAAATGGCCGCTGACAACCACACAAGTCACCGTGTTGTCATTGAATAGCATGGAATTAAACCTTCAGAGTATATGTTTTGTGACTGGTACCAAGAGTTGACAGATCCCACACATGTGTCACTCCTTGAGATGCAATAATCAGCTGTATTCAAATAATGTCTAATATAAATATAACCTAGAATGTGTACTCGTGAAAAAAGAAAAATATGGCAAATTTGTAGTTTTTTGCAGGTTTTAGGTTTGCTGGTAGCTTAAGTGATATATTTGGGAATTTCTTAATCGCTGTGAATATAGTGTGGATGTTTGTTCAGTTCCTCAACAACGGAAAATGTTCAACTTTATGGATGTATGGATATCAAAAAACCTGAATGGTTTTGTGGGAATATCAACCTAAGGTGCCATAATGGTTCTGATGAACGGCAAGTAAATGAATGAATGTTTGGAAACGAGCAATATCTTTTGGTAGAGCCTGTCATCAAGTAGGTGCTTAATGGCTATCTGCAAGAGGTTTATGGGAAAAAATACCCAGTATCGCATATCATTTGAAGAAAATAATATAAACATGAATAAAAAATCAACAATAGTAATTAAAACATGAATTTTATTAAAAAATCCAACATTTCTTTAAATTTCGACTGAATTATATGTAATTTCTTAGTATTCAATAAGCTGGTGATGTTTCAATGACAAGCTGTCATCTCATACTTTGACAGTATTTTGTATTCAACATTTCATAGCTATTGGTTGCTAAAATTTGTTGATTGGAACTTGGAGCTCATTCATTGTATTTGACTGTCTGTTATCCTATAGGTGGAGAATAACAGACTGTTGTTGGTGAAATTGGCCCTTAAAGTTGCACTCACCGACTCGGAATTTCGGTAGTAAATTTTAATTATTTATAAGCGTTGTTCGTTCGTGTACTTCACCATGATGAAAATGTTTTCTTTACTGAATGTTTTGACACTTACAGTTCGGTAATTGATTTAAAGTTGCGTTCACAGTGAAAGTTCAAAGTTCCTATTGTCCCTATTGGAAAACCCGAAACATGTGACCATGAAGGGACGACGGTATGCCGACTTAGAAGCCATCCAAAAGGCTTCGACGACCATTTGGTGTGCTAAAATCATCATTCGAAAATCTTTTGGTCCGTGCAAATTGCTGTATTAACTCTTTGAATAAAATAAATTCGATTTTCCGAAACAAAAAATGTTTCTTCATTTTTTGCTTTGTCCTGTTTACTTTGCGACAAACCTTGTACTAAAACTAAGCTGTTGTGCGGTACAATATTTATGTTTGCCTGTTTTCCGTAATTAGTCGAGTAAAATTTACTTTTTCCAAAAAAATCCAATACAAGCTACTTTAACCATTTGCAGACAGCGCTAAACAACAGTGACAGCAGTACAGAGTACGTTGACGCGTTATGCGATCACGTCTTGAAAGAGATAGAACAAGCTTTGCCAAATATGAACAGTCGCGATAGGGGCAAACTGGAGAGTTGCCTGTCTGGACTGTCATCTGTCACGGCAAATCTGAGAGACATCATAGATTATGGCATGCAGCAACTCAGAAACGCTGCCGTGAAGCCTAGGGTGCATCCTTGGGTGGACGCTTTTCTAAATGTCAATCATCATTTCACCGAGGTGAGTAGCTATGATCAATGTTACAGTCCCTGGATCTATACTAAGTGACATATAAATCCGAACACCCAGTTTAAATGGTTTTATTTTAATAAAAGTTGGTGAATGTATTTATCTTACTGTAAATAACAAGTGAAAAAATTTTCAGCCTTATCAGTTGGACATTCCGGTTTTTATACTGCTTTTTTTTAATTCACTAACGCTCTAAAAATGAATATTTCAGCCGCAGTAAAGAATCAACGTTGGCGGATTTTGGTTCTTGACATCCTTTACGATCGGTTACGATGCCTAGAGTACGGAGACCTGTACGATTTCGTCAACTTAGTGAGTTTGATAGGGGCCGTATAGTGGGACTTCGGGAAGCTGGACTTTCTTTTCGGGCAATTGCAGTTAGAGTGCAAAGAAGTGTAGACACTGTGGTTAGGTGTTGTCAGGCATGGCTTCGAGAAGGCCGTACGCAAAGAGCAAGGGGCACTGGACGCCGCCGTAGAACAACAGACCGTGAAGATCGCCGCCTAAGATTATTGGCCTTAAGGGACCGTTTCTCCACTACCAGGTCCATTGCAAATGAGTGGTTTGCAGAACACGGAAGACCTATTGGCATGCGAAGTGTTTACCGACGAATGAGAAGTTTTGGCTTGTTTTAATACCGGCCACACTGGGTCCTCCCTTTAACTCGAGAACACCGACGTAATCGCCTTGAGTGGTGCAGACAACGGTCACTCTGGGATCAGGAATGGAACAGTATTGTCTTTAGTGATGAGTCTCGATTTTGTTTAGGCATGCACGATGGTCGTGCCAGGGTTAGAAGGCGACGTGGTGAAAGAAGGAATCCACAGTTTTTTGTTGAAAGACATGTTCATCACACTGTTGGAGTTATGGTTTGGGGTGCTATAGCTTATGGTTCCAGGTCACCTTTAATCTTCATCAGAGGTAACATGAATGCGCAGCGTTATATCCACGAAGTTCTAGAACCCCATCTTTTACCCTATCTTGACACCCTGGCAGATCCAACTTTCCAACAAGATAATGCCCGACCACATGTTGCAAGAGTCACAATAGACTTCTTTCAACATAATGATGTCACATTGTTACCATGGCCACCAAGATCTCCCGACTTATCCCCAATTGAGCACGTGTGGGATATGATGGGTATGAGATTGCTCAATTTGCAACGTCCTCCTCAGACTCTAGAAGCAATTCGAGAGGAGTTGGTGGTTGCCTGGAATGAGATAGCACAGGAGGACATTGACCACCTGATCAAAAGCATGCCTAGGCGCGTTGGAGAATGCGTAGCACATCAGGGTGCATCCACACATTATTAAAGGTGAAAGGGCTTTAAAGCAGTGCAATCATTTTGAAATATCATTTACTTATTATGCTTCATTACGTACTTATACAAAATTTTATTAAAATAAAACCATTTAAACTGGGTGTTCGGATTTATATGTCACTTAGTATATAAATAACCCGTCGAACACAGCTAATACATAATTATACTTCATTTACAGCATATTCAGTAATGATTTTCTCACACAGCAAATATCACTGATTTTATACACATGCAGACCAATACAAATAATCATGCAGATGCGATCTTGCTATTCAACCAACTTTCTGTTCGGAGATGAAAACTACAGACTACTCGGGTTCACAAAACATATGCAACCAACAATGCGTGTAGTTGAGCCATTCCTCCATAGATGGACGCTCATAACGATCCTAGTGAGCAAACGTGGAATGACTGTTTGTACCCTAAAAACTTATCTAGTCTGCCAGATGACATTTTTTTTGACGTTTTATATGTTGTTTACATAATACCTGTGCCGTGCAGATTATCGTTCCCCGATCGTAATATTTATTTTTTGAGCCGGAGTTAAATGGAAAAAAGTTAGAGGATATGCGTATCTTAATTCGAACTAAAAATTGTTTGACCTCCTAATAGACTCCCATATACATTGAAGACACAATCGTCTGTATTATTTCTAATTTTGTATGATAATTCCAGGAGGAGTTATCTGCTTATGAAGCTGGTGAATCGTTTGTACAAACGTTGATAATGAATTTGGAAACACTACTATCTTCATTTAAAGATATTTTAACTCCATCGAACTATGATGCTTTTACCCAGGTTCTAACATCAGAAGTAACGCAGAGACTTGAAAAAGTCGTGATGAAAAGTACTTTCAACAGGGTAAGTCTAAATATCTATCTAGGGATACAGATTTTTGTTTTTCACGATTGTAGCCAAAATTTGTTTTACACCGGAAATATTTACTGGCGTTAAAGAAGCACTCTGTATTTTGTGTTTCTGTTATAGTTGGGCGGGTTAGTGTTAGACAAAGAAGTGCGTTCATTAGCCGGCTATATAACGGCTACAACGTCATGGTCCGTACGGGATAAATTTGCCAGATTGACACAAATAGCGACCGCTTTAAATCTGGAACAGCTGAACGAAATTTACGATTATTGGGGTAGCCATGATGGAGCGTTAACGTGGCGATTGACGCCAACTGAACTAAAAAGTATTATGCAACTTAGGTATGTACAACTGCAATGTTTTTTTTATATCATGTCGTTTCATCCAATGCGCATCCCACGCTTTTTACTCTGATTTGAATTATTCTGTTAATCACTTTAGCTATAAAATCGTGTTTTTTTAGTTTTGCTAAACTAATGTTTATTAGATTCAAGATTGCATTTACGTGCGACCATTTCAGAAACTTGAAAATATTTTCCAGGCCGTTTTAGTAATATTTTTTTGCCGCAAGCCTCTACGATGGATAGGTACCTCGCATTCTTAGTTGTCCACCCTGTACAGTATAAACTGACCTCCTCTTAACTTTTTTATATGGCCTTCCAGAGGAAAAAGCGGTGTATGAAACTTATAAGGTCTAATATGATGTTTTTCATGTAGTATTCTTTTTGTATACCGGGTGTCGCAGTAAAACGCTATCGAATAAAATTGTATTTTTTTAAATAGAACACCCTGTACATTTTCAGTGAAAATGATACTCCCCTTTTTCAGATTATATATACCAGGGTGTATAGGTGCGAATTTGTTCGAACTGGGATACGCATGGGTAAATGGCACACAAACCATATATTTTGAATCAGAAAGAAAGGGCTGAAAATATATAGTGTTCCATTTAAAAAAATACAAGTCTATCCGACAGAACTTTTCTGAGAGAGTATATTTTTTGTTGTTGAAGATTTATTTAGCAATAATGCTACAATGTCAATTTTGTATAATGATTCGGTTACATAATTTTCTTCAATCCATTTTCTGTAATTTTACCTTCTTGTCCATTAAAATTAAAATTACGTCACTATGTATTTTGATTATTCATAAAGTGATTTTTTAATTTCACGTTAAACATTTTCAAATTTGAACTTTGTTTAATATCATTATTCAATTTATTAAATTAAAATACTCCTTTTGAAATATAGATTTACTAGTTATGCTACTATTACAATTTTGCAGATGAAAATCTATACTGCCTCTAGTTTCGTAGTTATGATAATGACTATTTAATTTTGTGAAGTTCTCTAAATGTGGTGGTAATAAATGATTTTTTGATTTGAATATGAAAGCAAGAACTAAATAATATATGAAATTTTTCACATCCAACCACTGCAGTTCTTCTAACATAGACTTAATCCTAGTATATTTGTTTTTATTTAAAATGATTCTCATAGCTTTATTTTGTAGAATTTGTAATTTTGAAAATATGTTTTCATTTGCTGTAAACAAGATGGTTGAACAATATTAAAGATGGGGAAGAATTATAGTGTAAAACACATTTTTTTTGGATTACATACTAAGATTTTGGGAAACTCTATAGAAGTAATTTATCTTTTTCGATATTTTTGAAATAATGTATTCATAATGTTCGTGAAACAGTAGCTTATTATCCACATACAGGGTTATCCAAATTAAGTGTCCACCATTAGTAACTTTGTTATTAGTGAAAATACAAAGTTGTTTGAATTAGCAAACTAGTAGCATTTTTAACGCTGGTAAAAATGAGAAATAAAAAAAACAATTGAGAGTCGTTATTTTGATTTTTTTCAGTAAAATAACATTTTTTTAAATGGAAACCCCTGTATATTATATTTTTTTCTGTTAAAGCATCAAATTTTAAACAAAAAAGCTTACAATAACTTTTCTCCTAGGTTACAAATTGTTGAAGTTATGGCCTCCAATCTGAAACAATTAAATTGTATCGACAAACTTTATTTTCAACATCAACTTATAATCTTACAAAATACAATAACAATTTTTTTTAAAGAAGATGCTCGAAAACACCACCTTGTTCTTCAATACATTTTTGGGCACGTTTTTCAACTGCTTGAATTGTCTTAAGTATGGTCCTACCATCTATCTGGGTTATCTTTTCCCTAACTGCAGTCTTTAACGCGTCAAGGTTATCGTACCTTCGCTTGTAAATTTGGTTCTTTAAGTAACCCCACAAGAAGTAATCAAGTGGGTTTAGATCTGGTGATCTGGGAGGCCACTGTATTGGGCCATTTGTTCCTATCCACTGATCATTAAAAGTAGTACTTAGAAAATGATAAGTACCTCTGGAGTTGTGGGCAGGTGCGCCATCTTGCTGAAAATGCAGATGTTGTCTACTTATAAGATCCAATTCGTCTAAGAAATTAGTCAGAATTTCTGACATAAATTCCACATATCTTTCACCAGTTAGGGTTCCCTCATAAAAGAACGGGCCAACAATTTTTGAACCAATTATACCGCACCAAACGTTGAAACTGAAACGGACTTGTGGGCCTCTTGGATGTACTAACAAAAGATTTTCTCTTGACCAATAATGGTGGTTTTTTCTATTAAACATTCCAGAATTTGAAAAATTTGATTCATCTGTCCATAAAAGGTAACGAAAGTTATTTACATTTTGGCGACAGAAGCTAAGATACCAATGGCAAAAAACAAGTCTTCTCTCTGGATCCCCTGCCAAAAGCGTTTGAACTGGTCGGTACTTATACGGAATAAATTTGTATTTTTTTAAAATCCTTTGAACAGTACCATAACTGAAATTAGAGTCCTTGAGAATATCTGCTATTGAATTCTCACGATAAGCTTCAAAATATCCAATAACTGCAATTTCCGTGGCCTCGCTTATTATGAATTCTTTTTTTGCCCTTGTTTTAGCAAAAACATTTTCGTTGCCCCTAAATTTTCGATAAAGTCTCAGAAAATATCGTTCATACGGTTGAATGCGAGCGGGATATAATTCACTGTAGTATTCTCTTGCTCTCAAGGAGGATTTTCTGCACACTAAATAGCATTCTAACATATCACACTTTTCTTCATGGGAGAACATTTTTCTTTAAATTAATGACACAATAAAGCTTATAAACAAGTATTTACACTAATGTTTGACATTATTTGATTTTATCATTGTTTTCCAAAGCCTTCTAGTTGCGAGTATGTCCAGTTTAACAATTTGTCGCTTATCTTAATGCTGTCAAATCGCGAACGCCATGTTGTTTTCATAGCCGTCTTAATAGTATAATACTGCAAGTAATTAAAAATATTTATCGTTATTTTGACTTTACTTTTGACTTTAGCGGAAAAGTCATTATGAACTTTTTTGTTTAAAATTTGATGCTTTAACAGAAAAAAATATAATATACAGGGGTTTCCATTTAAAAAAATGTTATTTTACTGAAAAAATCAAAATAACGACTCTCAATTGTTTTTTTTTTATTTCTCATTTTTACCAGCGTTAAA